GCAATGCCACATTCTGTCTGTTTGCTTCAAAACTTTTTATCAAAAATTGTTTCAAACCAATGCCACATTCTGTCTGTCTGCTTCAAAACTTTTATCAAAAATTGTTTCAAACCAATGCCACATTCTGTCTGTTTGCTTCAAAACTTTTTTATCAAAAATTGTTTCAAACCAATGCCACATTCTGTCTGTTTGCTTCAAAACTTTTTTATCAAAAATTGTTTCAAACCAATGCCACATTCTGTCTGTTTGCTTCAAAACTTTTTTATCAAAAATTGTTTCAAACCAATGCCACATTCTGTCTGTCTGCTTCAAAACTTTTATCAAATTTTTTTTCAAACCAATGCCACATTCTGTCTGTTTGCTTCAAAACTTTTTTATCAAAAATTGTTTCAAACCAATGCCACATTCTGTCTGTCTGCTTCAAAACTTTTATCAAATTTTTTTTCAAACCAATGCCACTTTCTGTCTGTCTGCTTCAAATTTTTTTCATTTTCCAGTTTTGTGTAGCTAAGTATTTCAAAACTTTTTTATCATAAATTGTTTCAAAGCAATGCCACGTTCTGTCTGTCTGCTTCCAAATCTTTTCATTTTCCAGTTTTGTGTAGCTAAGTAATTCAGAACTTTTTATCAAAACTTGTATCAAAGCAATGCCACATTCTGTCTGTCTGCTTCAAAAATTTTTCATTTTCTAGTTTTGTGTAGCTATGTAATTCAAAACTTTTTATCAAAAATTTTTTCAAAGCAATGCCACATTCTGTCTGTCTCTTCCAAATCTTTTTGCAATTTGCATGGAAAGAATACATGTAATTGCAAAAATAGTTAAATAGAAACATTTTATTCAAAACTTTTTATTAAAACTTGTAGTTAAGCAATGTCTGTCTGCTTCCAAATTAATATTTAAATTACAGAAAATAATAAAAAATCTGAAAAAGTAGAAGTATAAAGAAAAACATAACTTTTTTTATTTTTTGCAGTTTGATGTAGCTAGGTGGTTGAAAGAATACAAGCCTATCCTGTCGCTACGGTCACAGCTGACTGATATCATTGGACTAGCTCTCTGTCTGTGTGGCCAGGAACCTGAATTACAAATACAAATGTTATTTGAAATGTACAGAAGTCACCTTAAGTTACTGTTAATGAATCAGTTTCCAGATCACTATGGTGATGTGCTCAGACTGCTTCTATTAGGTGAGTTTCATTATATCTACTTTCTGCAGTAATATTGTACTGCCATGTATCTGATGAGGAATTCTTCTACTGCCTAGCAACATTGCTAGTAATATCACATTGTGTATTCTAGAACCTATGCAAAGCATAGATTTACAATTCCACTAATGCCTGGGTACAATGCTAGTACTGTAAATAGGTTAATTATTCACTGGGTTTTATTTTCGCTCATTCCGCTGACTGGGAAATGCGCTAAATTAAACTAAATGTGAAATTAAGCATAGAACACATTGTCTAAATGGCAAAGCCGTGAATTTAAAACCCATTGAATATTCCTGAAATGCTAAATCAGTGAAATTTTATCTCAGTGAAAATTAACCATTTTACAG